TGAAAGGGAACAGCAAAACATGAATATAGAAATATGTACAGATTATATAAAAAGATCTGGCAGTATATATATATACATCAAAAGATAGCATTCTTTGAGTGGTAGCATTTAGGGTTATTTAAAAATTTTTCCCCTTTTCTTTACAGCAAAATATCTAATATATTTTGTTAACTAAATTAGAGATCTTGAATTATTCCTGAAAAAGCATCCTGTATCACCGGTTTAAATGTATATGTGTAGATGTAACTCCTAAAGATCTTATTTTCCTTCCAAGTATTTGGTTATATTAAATGAAGTTACTCTGTTTGTAGTTGTACTCATAGCCTGAGAACAGAAGTGACTTTTAAATGATAACTTTAAAATTATTAGCACCTAATTCAAATAAGTGATATATTTCCTACTAGCCACTTTAGAAAGTGACTTAAGTATTCTATCAGTATTTTACTGATGTTTTCATTACATCATGGTTTTTGGAATTTCTCTTTTGAGTAATTTCATTACCTGAGCTGTACCATAATACTAATCTGAAAAATTATTATCCAGATTGGTTATCTGTTTTCTTATCATTAAGCCTAACTTTGCATAAGTTTTCAGTATTTCAAGAAATAAATTTTCAGATGATGATTCGCCACTATTAAATATATTTCTGAAGAGTTGAAAACATTATGCCCCAAAATAAGTGTACTGTGCATTTAATGATAACATTTAAAGATTTAGTGTCTGAGAGGGGGAGGATGGATGGATGGATGAATGAATAAATGTCGCTAATTTCAAGGGGACTTGACTTAGTTAGAATGAGTTCTAAAGTGTTTGTGACAATATAACTCTCATTGTTTTATTGTTAATGCTTTATGTCTGACCTTTGGGCAGCGTGCCAAATTGGGGAATATTCATTTTTTACATGGATAGAGAAATGGGTTTTATTTGTTGAGGGTTTATTGCATCGGTCTTGCTGAAAATATACATCTTAAAAACTGAATTTTAGTCCTATTTTTTATTATGGCCATTTCCACAATTCCCAGTTCGTTCTTTTATCTATATTAGAGTTGATGCTTAGATAAATATAGTTTGCTACCAGTATAGAAAATGAAAAGATTTACCCAGTCATGTGGCTTCTTTTCCCTCCCATCTTCTGAAGAACTAGAAAATTTAAATGAAAGAATTAACTCAGGCTGTGTGAGTGTCACAGAGAACCAGAATATAAATGATATATCTTAAGGTCTTACAATAATTTTTCTATTGCCTTTGCATGCGATCCAGCTTCATGTTTTTGTTTTTTGATTTTCGTGTTGTATTTATAGTGTCACTTTACCTTTTTCTTCATCTAGTACTTTGAATTTAGCTTTGTATATGATTCCTCACTTTCATTTTTATATTCTTTTTCCTACCAGGCCTAGGCCAATGATTCCTCACTTTTATGTTCAATTATGCCTTAGTCTTAAGCTCCTTCCCACCTTTCACCAGTCTCTAACTTAGCCAGACTGACATGAGGCCACATCCTCTTCCCACCTAACGTGGTCTAGTAGAGGTGGCAATCATCAGTAAGAGAACAAAAACAAAACAAAAAAATTAAGAAACATGAGGAAGAAGGTACAACATTGTGCAAAAATTGAGCATCAACTATAATACTACCAGTTGTATTTTTAATTAGACTGGAGTTTGTACTGGCTTCATAGTTACTGTGTTCCATTATGTTAATTTTTTTTTGTAACTACAGTTGCAGTACACTGTATAGAATATTAATATATATTGTGATTGTTGTGGCCCCAGGAATATTAAGTGTTTAAGTTGATAACTTTTATTTTATGATTGTTCCATGTATTGCAAATATACTACAAATGTTAAAGTTTCTATTCATCAGTATTAACCTAGGATAAGGTTACCTCTCAGTTTTGTGAAAGGTGTTCACTTATCCAAGTTATTAACTCTTCACTTCTTGTGGTGTGAACAAGTGAACAAATTGTACTAGATAAGCTATTTTTCTCTGTAAAATTGACACAAAAGGAAACAAATGCTCACCCTGATTATGTTTGCGTTACAGAATCTTGGAGAGGCAGAATATGTAGTAGCACTTTTTATGTACATGTGTTTACTTGGTTACCCTGCTGATAGAATCAGTATTCTAACAACATATAATGGCCAAAAGCATCTTATTCGTGACATCATCAATAGACGATGTGGGAACAATCCATTGATTGGAAGACCAAATAAGGTAATTTTGTGAATGTAGTATGTTCTGTTATTCATCATTTTGGCAAGATGGAAAGGTTTGTATTTATTATGAGATGTTTATATTGTTCCACTTTGTGTCTTTGCT